AAGAAGAGGTGTGGCATCTTGCTTTGGTGTGCATCAATGTAATTTCACAGTCTAAAATCCAGCCTGTTTTCTTGTTGGGATTGAATGAAGATTGTTCCTTAGCCTTTCTGCTTTTTCTACAATGCACATGTTTCCCAATAAAGCAAAATGAAATAATGCTTGCATATTCTTCCTTTTTCTCTAATTCTTGGGCACTAGAGATGCCATCCCCCTTAAGCCCAGCAAGGAATCAGAGTCTGACAGAGTCTGGGGTGAAAGATCCCCAGACCACCTTGCCTACAGGGTGCATGGTGAGTCCTCTTTTCACCTGCAGGCACAACTGAATTGGAAGAACCCAGACAACACAATGTCTAGAATTGCACATCTAGGAGGGTTGCTCATTCACTCATCTTTCTGCATCCCTGTGCCTAATGACTGCCTTTTTCAGGGCATCTTCTCCATTTCTGCATAGACATTACCTAGCTGCTTGCCTGCTCCACCTGCAGATTTGCAACTACAGAATACGTTCAGTGACCTCCTAGTCTAGAAGATCCTCACAGCTGAGTCTCACAGTCTCACAAAACTCCTAAACCCTTCAAGTAAATGCTTGCTGTTACCTGGAAAAAAAAAGAAGAGGAGCTAAGGCACAGAGATGCTGCAACACTTTGAAGGTCCACTGGCATGTGAAAGCAGTATGAAACCATATGAGTGTCCTAGGGCTGTACAGTAATCTAGTGGAGAAGAGGGAAACAGACTGAAGAGAGAAATTCTTCTGGTTTATACTTCTGAAAAAAAAATGTAATTAGGACCAATATAGATTCACATCGGGGTTTCAGTCATCTCCTGAGCACTGAAGCTAGGGTATGAAACCCTAGTTCATATCCACTAGATCTTGTTATTGCTGAATGCCAGGTTATGCATCCCAGTTGTATCTACTGTAGGTTTCATATGGATAAACCATGGGGGCATTGGATAATCTTTCTTGTACATATCCAGTCATGACTGACTGCTACTGAAGAGCATCTCTTTATAATTTATGGACAATTGAAGTAATTTGGGGTGTCTCTCTTCTGGAAGACCAGAAAGACACTTCACAAAGCTCCATAGAAAGTGGAGTGGACAGACTCAACTGACAACTCACAACAATGAGAAAATGCACCTTAGTGGAAAAGTGAGTTGCTTCCCACATTTGATTTGGAATTTTGGCACTTCTTAAAGTTTATTTACTAAGAAATCATGGTTAATAAACCTGAGAGAACTGACAGGATTTTATGTGTAGCAAATACAACTCCAATATAATTCTCGACTCCCTTCTGTGGCCTAAGCCCCATCAGATATAGTTATACTATTAAAAGACAGTAACAACAATATAAACAGGTAAGGGAAGAGTTACCACAGGGAACAAATGCTGCAAGCATGTGTTTGAATTTATAAATCTCTGTCCATTGAAGTAAAGAGTTAAAATATTTTATTACAGCCTCACTCAAAAAAAAACATACACATATGTTATGGGAGCCAAACACTAGGAGACAAATTTCTTTTTCTCCTCTAGTAAAGTAGAAATGTGTCAGAGAGTTGCAGGAACATAGTAAGAAAACAGAGAGAAATGTTTTTGTCATTTTGTTCTTATGTCAATTTAGCTTTAATGTCCAAAATTAAGAAAAATGTTTAAGTCACATCATTTTTAATAACTGCAAAAAATTACTTTAGGTCTCTGTGTTTCTTCAAGACACTAAAAATTATCTGTCAAAGGTTCTCTAATTTTTCATTTACATTTGAATCCTGAGTACATATAATTACTATAAATCAAAACATTGGTACAGAGCTGATTTTTCCCTCTATTTTCAGCTTTTCTGGGGAATTGATTATTCTGATGAATGAGTCAATAAACAGCATTTTTTCCTTTCCATCACTCTTCTAATTGCATTTTTAACCTCCTTGTTCCTGAGACTGTAGATCAACGGATTCAGCATAGGAACGAGCAGTGTGTAGCATACTGCAGAGATTTTCTCTTGTTCCAGTGAGTATCTTGAGCTGGGCTGTATGTGGCTCAAACTCACGGGCCCGTAGAAGAGGGTTACAGCTGTCAGATGTGAGGTGCAGGTGGAGAGGGCTTTGAACCTACCTGTGGACCTCATCCTTAGAGCTGAGAAGAGGATGCAGAGATAGGAGACAATGACAATTAAGAGTGTGGACATAGCTATGATCCCAGAGAGGGTTACGAGCATAATCTCATTGATACTGTTGTCAGAGCAAGTAAGTTTCAACAGTGGGTTTGTATCACAAAAGTAATGGTTGATGGTATTAGGTCCACAGAATGACAATTTCACTAAGCCACAAGTATGTATCAATGAGTTAAAGAGGCCCCCTAAATATGATCCAGTCACCAGCCAAATACAAACTTTCTTGGGCATAAGTGTGGTGTAAAGTAGTGGGTTGCAAATAGCTACATAACGGTCGTAGGCCATGACAGCCAACATGAATCCCTCTGTGGTCACAAACAGAACAAATGAAAAGTGTTGGGCAATACACGCAGAGAAAGAAATAGTCTTATTCCTCACTAAGAAGTTTACCATCATCCTTGGAGCAAAAACTGAAGAATAGCAGAGATCCACAACTGACAAGTTAATGAGGAAGAAGTACATCGGTGTGTGAAGTTGGATGTCAGTCCTGATCAAGCATATTATTCCAAGGTTACCCACAAGGGTCATAACATAGATTAGTAGGATCATCACAAAGAGGGGCAACTCTAGTTCGAGGCGAGCTGTCAGTCCCAAGAGGATGAAATGGGTCGCTGTTGTGTGATTGTTTACTGCCATGCATACATGCTGAGGTGGAATGTGTGATGATAAATAAGAAAAGAAGACAAGGTTGTTCATAAGTATATTTCATGGACTAATCCACCGTCAAGTAGGACGAAGGCTGACATCAAGTACCTTGCACTTGCTTTCATTTTGCAGGACTCAGATTCTTCAAGGCTTTCTGGGCAGAGCTCATGAGTATCTCTGGGTACAGCAGTGCATATCTGAGATGATTGATAGAGCAATAGAGACCCAGCTGAAAAATTCAATGCGTTGCTTTGTTGTGAAACACAAACATTCTCTTTCATTCTCACAAACTCTCTTCAAAAGGCCAGTGGAAGTTGACACTTCACAGCAGCCAGATTTTTAGAATATCAAAGTAAAAAGTGAGAGTTAAAGGTCTGAGTCAGTTTTCAGACTAAATTAATGCTTTATTCAAAGCTTTTACTTCATAGGGGAGAGTCCATGGCTGCAGTGGTGTAAGAGGTCAGATCTGCAGATCTGGTCCCTCTCCTTATGACTGGTTCTATGTATTATCCACAAATAACTCAAAAAAAAAAAAAAAAACAGTAAGAGTTACCATAACTTATTTTTAGGCATCTGGGTCTCTTGATAGATTTTGACTCAAGATGAGAAAGAAGCTTTTTTTTTGAATAGACAATTACCATTGCATTGCTAAAATATATTTAGACTTCTAACTCAGCTAGGGTCCATCTATGATCAGTATATCCCTCAACTATTCATCCTACTGATTTCAGACATTAGCACATCTCAGATCTTGAAATGAGTGAACAGCCTAGAAGCCTCTCCCTGAGAAGTTCTGTCTCTTTTTATTAACCATAAAGGCCCCTGAGGTATTTAACTTGCTGCAGAAATCTGAAGTGTAGAGGTTGTACACATTTTTATGTACCAAATTTTGTCTAATGAAGTGGTCTAGGGAAGTTGAAATGATCTGATCGTCTTGCTAATGCTACAATTCACCATGTGATTTTACACAGAGCAAGCAAACAAACAAACAAGGCACTCTTCTGAGCTCTCCAAGTGTGTCAAATGCAGACAGCAATATTGCCAAAACAACAGTTCAGTGCTAATACCATCAAGGACATACCTGGATTTTACAGTTCAGCCTCAAACACTCTCCAATCCTTAGCCTCCAAATGCTCCAACATTGCAGAAGTCTGGACTTCAATCTCATTGACAAAGATGCTACCACAACCTCTGTCGATAGAAAAAGACTTTCTTATCTTATTTTCAGCTGGGTCTTCCAGTCTCTTTCATGACCTTATCTAACTCATGTCTTTGATCTGTAATTTCTCTTTAGTGAAAACACGCAAACGAATATATGCAGTTGCTCATTGTATCGACATACTAGTAAAAGGTGTCTGAAGACATCTGAGAAGAGATAAAATAATTCTTTTCCTTCCACAGAAAAGAAGAAATATTGTTTCATGCTTGTGGATAGCACAGAACAACAGCTTATCCCTCAAACTTGAGAACTCATGTCAGGACCTGGTACTGCACCCATTTGCTATTTCAGCTCTTATGAACTGAACCCTCATGAACACCTAAGTTTTCAGCAAATATTTTTCAGCTAAAACACAAAGGATATCATTAAAGTGTCCTCATGGGATTCTTTAAACAGACAAAAAAAGGTCTGCTCTCCCACAGCAATATGCAGAAAATGAGTATGTTTACAGCCCTCAGTTACCCAGTTTACAGAAAATTCCTCTCTGCTCACTACTCGGGCTCACTGTTTTTCAGGCAGGAATTGGCTAATGTTTGGATGGCTGAGAGAAATGCGTGACTGTTTAATAGCCAGTGATACAGCTCAGCCCATCCTAAATTCAGGTCTTAATGTATTAAGGAGAATACATTATGAGTGTAGGGTGACTATTATGCTTGATTGGTTGCATATGCTCTTAAAAAGACAAACAGTAATAAAAATAACAAAGGCCCTGTTGTCCTGGCTGACCACATAAGCGAAAAGATGTCCTCCCTCACAAACTGGAGATTTGGGATGTTTTGATGATGATTTTTTATCAAGATAATAAAGTGACCTAACCTCTTACATTTAAAATATACATATTTACATCTGAGTTAGGACCCTGCAGACAACAGTAATTAAAAAAGAGAGAAAGAGTATTTCTGTATATTTTTATTTTGCATATATATATTTATAATTTTTTATATATATATATTTATTGTATTTTTTTTTTCCTGCTAAGTAGATGACTGAGAAAACACTTTTCTCTCTCTTGATCTTCTTAGGACTTCCCTTACTTCCTTGTTCCTCAGGGTGTAGATGAGAGGGTTCAGCATGGGAAAGACAACAGTGTAAAATACAGCAATCACTTTGTCTGTGTCCATTGAGTAGCTGGAGAGAGGCCGTAAATACGTGAAGAGGAGGGAGCCATAGAATAACAAAACAGCCATCAAATGTGAGGTGCAGGTGGAGAAGGCTTTGTGTCTGTCCTCCACTGCACAGATTTGGAGGATGGTGCAAAGGATGCAGGTGTAGGAGGCAACGATGATCAGAAAGGTGCTGGTTTGTATGAAACCACACAGGGCGAAGAGGAGGACTTCATTGACATGTACGTTGGAGCAGGAGAGCTTCAGCAGTGGGGGAATGTCACAGAAGAAATGATTGATGGTGTTGGGTCCACAGAATGACAGCATGAACGTGAAGCATGTGTGAATCAGTGAGGTCAGACCCCCACTGAGATAAGCCCCAGCTACCATGAAGGCACAGACTTTGCGGGACATGACAAGTGCATAGAGAAGAGGATGACATATGGCCACATAACGGTCATATGCCATCACAGCCAAAAGGAGGCACTCAGCATCAGCAAAGGCAGCAAACAGAAACATCTGTGTTGCACAACCACCTAAAGAAATGGTTTTCTGCTGTGTCAGCAGATTCACCAACATCTTGGGGCAAATGGTAGACGAATAGCTAAGGTCCAAGAAGGATAAATTGCTTAGGAAGTAGTACATGGGGGTGTGAAGGCAGGCATTGAACCGCACCAGCACAATGATGCCTATGTTCCCCACCAAAGTCATGACATAGATGAGTAGAAAGAGCACAAACAAAGGTAACTCCAGCCCTGGATGGCTGATGAAACCCAAGAGAATGAACTCGGTCACGGCAGTACAGTTTTCTTCAGGCATTCCCTTACTTCATGTTCACTCTTTAGATCAGTGTTGTTGGAGAGATCAGTCACTCTTAATGGTCAAGTAACGGATAAACAGGTCATCCCTCACTGCCCAAAGAGAATGATAACATGAGTATCTGACATAACATCCAGAGGGGAAAGCAGTAACTTAGATCATAACCATCCATAAATTTTAGGAGGACATTCAAATAGAAATTAGTAAAGAAAAATGCATTCGAGGCATTTTTTTTCTTATAAAGCAAATATATTCAACAACGTGCATATAAAATAGGTTCTTCGATATTTTTTTTTCAGAGCACAATATGGATATCTGAGACTTTTATATAAGATGCATCACCCAGAGAAAATATATTATTTAACATGCAGTAAGTACTAGATATTCACCTGAGTAAAGCATAAGGTATGAAGTTCAGGCAGAACGTGAGCTTAGAATTTTTTTTTGTTTTGGGTTTTTTTTTGTGCATTTGGTTTACTATTGCTCCTTGTCTTTTTATTTTTTTAAATTCTTTCCAAAATATGGGAGAGGGGAGATCTTTTTCTGAGGTAGGTCAGTTTTTAATCAGAAAATTAGCTATGAAAACAAAAAGAAATATACTTAAAATATTGGTTCATTTTTTAAAAATCCACACATATTTCTTTTGATTGAAACTAAAATGTGATTTTAAATCGCATTTTAATGTATTCCCCAGGATACATTCCCCCAAATACACTCCCCAAAAATCAATTTTGAATGCTCATTTCATATTTTAAAAAATAATGATGTATTTAACTGTATAAAAGTAAAGATACATTTATGGCTATGTAAATGAGAACTCTAGTGAGGATTGTTATATCTTGCTCACCCTGTTATTTCCAAAGAGATCTAGACCTGTTGGTACAAACCACTAAAATAACCACAAATTTCAGTACATGTAGACAAATGAAACCATAAATGTGTATGTTCCTGGAAAAAAAAAATTACAATTTCCGAACCATTTAGGATTTGTTTCAAATGGTTAAGGCTGAATTTGGAGATTCAGAAAAAAAAATCAGTTTTCAATTTGGAATCAATTTGGAGTCAATTTGCAAGATATATCACTTCCTAAAGGTACCTGTCTCTCTTGATCTATGGATAGTGAAGGAAAGCAAAAGGACCAGCCTAAATTCATAGCCAAACTTTTGTACAATCAACCTGAGAGCACTGAAATTCACCCTCTAAGGTCTGAATTGCCTTCTGGATATGCCTCTTCGTTCCCTCTATAGGCACCGAGACTGACTAAGGTCATGACTTATGTCCCTGACTTACATTCCTTATATTAGGTCAGAAACAACCATTCCTGCAAGTTTAAAGTTAAGCAAACTGAGGCAAACTCCGTCTGGAGACAGAGCAGCGCTGTAATTTATTTTCAAACCATTGGTGAGCTTGGACAATTCTAGATAATTGTGACAGAAGAGAAAAAGACTGTATCTGCCCTAAAACAAATATCTTGCGGTTATTTGGACCTAGTTGTTTGTTCCTGTTTGCAGTTTGTTGATCATCGTCAGACAAGAAGGCATGGAAACCTTGACCTCTTGTGACAGTCTTCTGAAGTATAATTGCAAAAGATTTGTATCTCCACATCAGCATTATAGTTACCTTTAAAAATTAAGCTCTAATTGTATTTTCAAAGGCTTTCTTTTCTTTCTTTTTTTTTTTCTGCTGAATGAAACTTTTCCTTCACTTCACCTAAAATTAAGCCTCCTAATAAGGCACCTGATTTGAAGCACTTGCTGCCTGACTGAAGGAAAATGTGAA